TTTTTTAGAGAGAAGGGTCTTAATATAGCTTATGGGTATAAATTAGTGATGCATCTGTCCTCTAGTCTATCTTTACCCTAAGAGAGTATTCTCGTTCTTCTTATGGTCTATAATAAAGACTATGCTGATTTTTTAACCTCTCCTTAGAAGTAATACTGAGTTATCTAAATACACTGTATTCAACAGACAACACCATAATATGACAAGCTGAAGAAAATCAAATTTTAATTTAAATCATGTTCAAGAGAAATAGTAGCACCTGCCTGTTTGAATGTCCTTCCAGAGAACCCAGGATTTAGAACTGTCTTCAAATATGATGAAGCAGCTCTGTTTCAATATGTTTATCTGCAATACAGAGAAATACTTAACGGTGATCTCTTAAAATTAAAAACATTAAGTTTAAGATTATTAAATGCTTACTGCAAAAACAGCAAAACATACATTAAGGTAACTTGCCTTTTTGATAGTGCCAAGATAAAACAAGCCATCTGACCATCTAGCTAGGACATCCTGACCCTCTTCAAATTTACATGCTGGCTTTTTGGCTTTATGTCCATCCTGTAAAGACAGCTTGGTCAAGGATGTTGGGGTCTTTTGGTTTCGACGTAAAGGAGACCGCTTGTGGACCAGTGAATTACCTGCCCCTGTAGAGTCTCTGTTTAGAGAATAAAAGACCATATATAAGACTTACTTATAGAGCTTATTTTATACCAGTGGGATATTTTATAAGTTAATCAAAGTTTTTATTTGTTAAAAACCTTAAGACAAAGAAAAATATAAAAGGTACCTCAAATCACAAATACTCTCTCCAAACAAGGAAGTTTAAAACAAAATGATAACAATTCTCAATGTCCATTCATTGCCTACTCTAAGTGAGGCGAAGACTCAGCAAACACCCCAAGATAACACATTTGAGGCAGCTGTCATCAAAATAACAGCTTTAGGTTGAGGTACGCAGGCCATGGTCATGAGCAAATAATGTCTTGAATCTCATGACTGGGTTTGGATAAAGAATAAAAGTGAATTAAATTTTAATATCTTGATTATGTCACATGCAGTTAAGACACACTAACCAGTGACTTCAGGGGACAGCTGGGTGTTATTCACACTCTTCGTACTCAAAGAAAGGGCAGTCGTGACCTTCTCCTTACAGGGAGTCACTACTGAATTGAGCAAATATGCAGACTGGGAGTTTAGAAAACAAATTGAGAATCAGCAATTTCATTAAATTATATACAAATAGAAAAATACACTATACAGCCGGGTGCTGTGGCTCACACCAGTAATTCCAGCACTTTGGGAGGCTGAGGCAGGCAGATCACCTGATGCCAGGAGTTTGAGACCAGCCTGGCCAACATGGTGAAAATCCATCTCTACTAAAAATACAAAAATCAGCTGGGCGCAGTGGCTTACACCTGTAATCCCAGCACTTTGGGAGGCTGAGGTGGGTGGATCACCTGAGGTCAGGAGTTCGAGACCAGCCAGACCAATATGGTGAAACCCCAACTTTAAAAAAATAAAATAAAATAAAAAATAAAAATACAAAAATCAGCTGGGTGTGGAGGTGCGCTCCTGTGAGCCCACCTACTTGGGAGGCTGAGGCAGGAGAATTGCTTGAACCCGGAAGGCAATGTTACAGTGAGCTGAGATCACACCACTGCACTCCAACCTGGGCAACAGAGCGAGACTCCATCTCAAAAAAAAAAAAAGTACCCGATAAGAGTACTTAAAGGAAAAAAAATCATTATATACTGTGAAATTACATTTAACTTATATATTAGACATTCCATAAACAGCAAAGCATACCACCATCAACTTTTAAAGTTAACAAAGCAGTATTTGGTTTTACTTTTCCAAATTATATTTTTCACTAATTAAACACACAGTGACATGTAAAACTAGATAGACAATAATTCTAAAAATAGCATAAAAGTTTAGTAAAAATAAAATGAGCAGAGAAATTAAAGAAAAAAGTTTCGAAAAGTTTCTGAGTATTAGGAATACCTAATTTCAATACCTAAAAATACAGAAATTCTGGGAAACCCTGTCACATACTAAAACATGGATGAACCTTGAAGACATTATGCTAAGTGAAATAAGTCAGACAAAAAGGATAACTATTCCAATTATATGAGGTACCTAGACACTCAAAGTCATAGAAATGGAAACAGAATGGCAGCCAACAACTAGGAAGAATGGGGAGTAGGGAGTTAGTGTTTAATGGGTACAGAATGTTTCAGTTTAAAAGAAATACATTTTAAAGATATCCAAAGAAATAACTGGTACCTTCCCAAATTTGCTGAAAAACATTATCTACACATCCAAGCAGCTCAACAAATTCCAAGTAGGATAAATGCAAAGAGATCTACACCCAGCCACATCATAGTAAAAATGCTGAAAGGCAAAAAAAAAATCTTGAAAGCAACAAGAAAAATACAATATATTACATACAAGGAAACCCTAATAAGATTAACAGTTGACGTCTCATCAGAAACAATGAAGGTCAGAAAGCAGTGAGATGACAAATTCAAAGTATGCAGGCTGGGGAAAGGGGGTGCCGTCACCAGAGAATGTTATATACAGCGAAGCTGTCTTTCAAAAATGAAGGTGAAATACACACTCCCAAATAAACAAAAACTGAATTTGTTATTAGCAGAGCCATCTAACAATAAATACTAACATGACTGAAAGCAAGTAAACCCAGCAGGAAATTCAAATACACACACACACACACACTCACACACACACCCCACCAACAAAATTATAATAGACAGCATAAATGCATATTTCCTCTAAAGCAAATATACAAAATATGTACATAATTGTATTGTTAGACCCATAATATGTAGAAATGTAATATATTTGGCAACAATAGCACAAAGGAAGTATGTAGGAACAAAACTGTTTCAAAAGAAATGACACAAGGCCAGGTGCAGCATGGCTCATGCCTGTAATCCCAGCACTTTGGGAGGCTGAGGCAGGAGGATCCCAGGTTCAACAGCAGCCTGGCAACAGGGAGAATGTCTCTAAAAAAATAAAAAATAAAAAATTAGTTGGGCATGGGGGCATGTGTCTGTGGTCCCAGCTACTTATGAGTCTGGGGTGGGAGGACTATATGAGGCCAGGAGGTCTAGACTGCAGTGAGCTGTGATTGTGCCATCGCACTCCAGCCTGAGCAACAGAGAGAGAGAACTTGTCAAAAAGGAAGTGAAGGAAAGGGAAGGGGGAGGGGGAAGGGAAGGGAAGGGGGAGGGGGAAGGGGAGGAGGAGGGAACGGAAGGGAGAGGGAGGAAGAGAAGTACACAAGATGCTAACTCGAACTCACAGGAACAAATAAAAAAACAAAAAATGGTAAGTAAGATAAACATAAAAAGTAGATTGTCAATTCAAGAAAACATCTGCCTTATACAGAAATCAGTCACTGTTTCAAGTAAAAATGGTGTTCCATGAAAAAGCTGCTAGTTCTGCTGGCACAAGTGGTTTATGCCATTTCTATTTTATCACATGATATTAAAAATCTTACCACGGTGCTTCACACCTGTAATTCCAGCATTTTGGGAGGCTGAGGCAGATGAATCATTTGAGGCCAGAGTTCAAGACAAACCTGGCCAACATAGCAAACCCCGTGTCTCTACTAAAAATACAAAATTATCTAGGCTTGGTGGCGCATGCCTGTAATCCTAGCTACTCAAGAGGCTGAGGCAGGAGAACCGCTTGAACCTGGGAGGCAGAGGTTGCAGTGAGCCAAGATCACACCACTGCACTACAGCCTGGGCAACAGAGCAAAACTCTGTCTCAAAAGAAAAAAAAAAAGAAAAGAAACTTTGGGCCGGGCGCGGTGGCTCCCGCCTGTAATCCCAGCACTTTCGGAGGCCGAGGCAGGTGGATCACGAGGTCAAGAGATCAAGACCATCCTGGTCAACATGGTGAAACCCCGTCTCTACTAAAAATACAAAAAATCAACTGGGCACGGTGGCACGTGCCTATAATCCCAGCTACTCAGGAGGCTGAGGCAGGAGAATTGCCTGAACCGAGGAGGAGGTTGCGGTGAGCCGAGATCACGCCATGGCACTCCAGCCTGGGTAACAAGAGCGAAACTCCGTCTCAAAAAAAAAAAAAAAAGACTTTAGGTGCACAATGGCCTGAAACTTGTTTTCTTTTTTATTTCAGGATGTTGTTTGGGGATTAAACTCTTTGTTTACTGTAAGTATGGTGATCCCAAGTTTTTCTCGATTTCGTTTTTGCTGGTTTTAAACATTGCATTAAGGTTAACAGAAAACCATGTTAAAAAATGAAACATGGGCTGGGCACAGTGGCTCACGCCTATAATCCTAGCACTTTGGGCAGATCACTTGAGCCCAGGAGTTGGAGACCATGAATAAACCCCGTCTCTACAGAAAACTAGCTGGGCATAGTGGCACACACCTGTAGTCCCAGCTACTTGGAAGGCTAAAGTCAGAGAATTTCTTGAGCCCTGGAGGCAGAGGTTGCCATGAGTTCAGATTGCACCACTGTGCTCCACCTGGGTGATAGAGACTCTGCCTCAAAAGACACACACACACACACACACACACACACACACACACACACACACACACACACAAAACATGCTGGCCGGGCATGGTGCCTCACACCTGTAATCGTAGCACATTGGGAGGCCAAGGCAGGAGGATCACCTGAGCCCATGAGTTCAAGACCAGCCTGGGCAACATAGCAAGACCTGTCTCTAAAAAAAATAATAAATTAAAAAATAACCCTCCGTGCAGATAGTTACATAGTTACACCTTTTTTCTGTTGCACTTGTGTGAGTCAGAAGTAGAACAGTGAGGTGGGAAATGAGGGGCCTTTGCAGTGACATGTGAGGAGGTTGTCTGGGGCAGGGGACAAAGCAGTCTGCCCTGCTGAGCGCTTTCTGGGGACAAAGCTGATTCCACTTGCTTTAGCCCCTTCCAGCAGGGTGGCCGTTAATTACCCTGGGCTCACTTGGCCCAGTTCATGTCTGTGCCTGTGGCTGCACTAGCCAGCCCAGGGAGTGGCCCTGTCACCTCCCAGGTGTCCTGGTTGGTGTGGATGGTTATGTGGTTACCCAGCCTTGAAGGCTTTGCACCTTTGCATGTAGAACCTCAGAGCTGTCTTTGTCGGTGATGAGCTGCTGAAGCTTGCCCTTCTCAGGAGGCAGCACTCCTCAGACAGTGGCCCTCAGGGCAGGAAGAGGCTAAATGGACTCAACTAAAAGCTGTTGGTTGGATTTTTTTTTATACAATATTATACGTTCCTTTGAATTTTTACTTTTTGATTCATAAAAGTGCTTTTAAAGAAATAAGCTTCAGAGATTTGTTTGTGAAAAAACAGGTTTTGCTATTTTTGATAAAACCTAAGGTGCCGCTATGATCTTGGATAGTCCACCCAGGCCAGTGGGCTGTTTTCGGGGCATCCTCCTGGCCGGTGTCATGTGGGGCATTGGCTGTGGCCTACGGCAGATGCACCTGCAGGACTCAGTTGAACTAGGGGCAGGTCTGCTCTTTCTTGTCCTGTCATCTGAGGGCACAGTATTCTTGTTCTTATCTTCAGCAAAAGAAAAAACAGCAGAGCCTCAAACTAAACTGTGAGTCCCTGCCTACCTTTTATCTTTCTGTCTGATGTTACCCGGTGAAA